ACGACATTTTGATCATTTTGACAAGGAATGATGTGGTGAGTTGAGGAAAGTTTTGTACATGTACTCGATTTTCGTGAATATTTTGTAGGCTTTTAAAGCTTTTATCGTCTCAGATAAGAGTCAAATCCAGGGAAGTGGAGAGCGGGGATAGCGCAGTGGTGAGAGCGCTCGCTTCCCACCGCTTTAGCCCGGGTTCCATTCCCAGACGTGGTGTCACATGTGGGTTGCTTGTGCTGTTGGACCTTGTTCCGAGACTTTTTTTCCGGGAAATTCCAAATTCAGTGCTACGTTGTTGTAGCTTTTGTCTGATATCTCGTGGACCAAAACATTTTTCATGTTATTCAGAATTAGGCCTTTACAAGTACCGTATGTCATCAGCACTAAATTCGGTTTCTCCTCGGTGCACACTAAGCTATCATTTGACCGAGGCTTGATGAGCCTTCGTGGTTGATACGATCATAACATTCCGTTTATCTGTGCAGGGCTCTACCCATGACGATGTTCTTTTGTTGGCAACGTCATTATTGCGTGATGTGGTGAAAGCTGTGATCATGATGGATCGGTCGCTGGCTGTTGTGGTAGGTATTTTTGTTTTGTTGCCGGACGGAATCCGGGCATTCAATAATTTTGCTTCACAGCGCTCTATGATTGCATAAGAAAACATGAATGAATTTTAACACTCAATTGAAAACGGCTCTATAAGACAAGGTGCTTTTCTTTTCAATTTAGTTTGTACTGCGTTTTATGCATGATGCAGCGCAATCTTGCACGCTAAGTTTTGATTCATTTTAAAACGAGCGGGACGTGTTCTTCCTGCCCGTTATTAGATATTAGTTGCTGTTTGCGCGCTGATTGATTGATTGACACGCATGTGACTTGGGTGATTAGCTATTCACCAGCTGTTGCTTTAAATCGGGTTTGACTTGGTTTTCTTGTATCAGGGTAACTACGTGGCGTGTTTGATAGCCATGCTACAGCAGATGGACGAGAAACACTACCAGATGTACGTACAACACTTTCCAACTGACCAGGATCTGCTGGTGAGTTTCATAATTATTGATCTTTTATCATTTCTAAAAATTTCTCATTGTGCAATGATTGTTGCAAACGTTGTTCTCTTTTTCCGTAACTTTTTATTTGTGAGTATTTAGATTGAGAATGGAAGGCGTTGTTACAGAGAAATATAACGACCCCCTAAAGAGTATTTACGTGCATGTCGTCCACAAGGAAAACGGGGAAACACAGTCTCCATTATATTTTTGTGGACACTGTGGTGTGTTGGATCGTCTTTCTTGTAGGAGGGCCTAAAGGTGGACTTCGTAGTACACTGCTGTTTCGATAAAGATTGTATGAAAAAGCGGGAAAGTGCAAGCGACAACCCCGAAAGGTGTTTTGGGTAGTTTTCAGGTCACGATTCCTTGACCTCAGGATTTCAGGGAAATCTGAGAAGACGTCTTTGTAAGGACGAAGTATCGCGGGATGGATGATCTTGTTTATTTTTTGTTTATTTGATCGATAAAAAATTTACTGATTATCGGAATCCCAGATTACCTTTTGTGATTGTAGCGTGTACTTTTGTTTTTTTTTTCGACAACCTATCTCGAAACTGCTGTAAGCACGAAGACATACGTAGACTCATTGCCCGTCATGAATAGGGGGTAAGTTTCTAAAGAAACCGTGGTGTTGCAGAAGAGCAGAAGCAAATAAAGCTCTTTGTGAAAAAATACTGAACTACCTTATGCACCTGTTCTTCCGTAGGATTTTCTTATGGAACTTTTCATGCTGTTTCGCGAGTTTGTGAGCAACAACATCTTTCCTAAAGACTGGATGGTAATGACCATGGTTCAGAACAGGTGTGTGGCTCGGGCGATCGATCGACATTGCTTCATTGAGAACCTTCTTAAAACGTGAAACCCATGTTACCTTTTTGTCTCGTGTACTTAACTGCTTTTAATATCGTTAACCTCGTTTCGCTGCCTGATTGTTCATATTTTGTGTCAATATAGCGTGATCTTGAATGCCATTCAGTATTTTTCTGAAGCGATGCAGGAGCACTTTGGAGCAGGAGCATTTGAGGATCAGGTGAGTATTTTTGTGAATGTTTTCTGATATCACGCCGTTAACAAGAAAACTCGCATATGAGAAGGAAGAATAGTGAGACCGTAAATAAGTTACGAGAATTTGGTGTTATGGCAAGATAATAACTTCTCCCTGATAAGTTTGAGTATGCTCATTACTTGTTTGCTGGGTAATGTATGGATATTTTAGAGAGAAGTTATATGTTAATCACCCCCGGGCATTTAAGGGTTAAACTGGCGTGAACTTACTCGAAGGATATCATTCTACTGAAGTTTATTGTCGAGCGTTGTTATAAACGAAAGGCCGAAAATGAACACGAAACAAGATACTCGTTTCCTTTCTATGAGGCAACGATTTACATTTGAAACCAAATAAATTGGTTAAATTGAGAGCACTGTTAGTATATTGTTGTTTTCATTGGTTACTAAATCCCTTATTTCTCTTCGTTTTAGTTGTGGAATAATTTTTTTCATCTGGCCGTGGCGTTCGTAACTCAGGAATCCCTGCAGTTGGAATCGTTCAGCACCACAAAACAAGACAAAATTTTGGAAAAGTGAGTACTTCTTTTTTAAATTTTTATTTTGCGAGTGTTGCTGAATATCACACCACCTCAAACATATCGTGGAAATCTAAAACAAAAACGGGACAGATATCTCTCATAACAGGTTAAGAATTTGTTCTGTGCTATTAAAACAAACAACTATTGTCTAAATATCAGAGGAAAAAACTCAGTTATCCAACTTATTGTATTTTTACAATTACTACCAATCTATAAAGTTAATCGTAACCAACTGTATGATTTTGCAAACAATTGAAACAATTGCAAACAATTCTTAACATCCGCATAAACGTTTTCCCAAGAACAGGTTACTCTTTTTTCTTGAAACAAAGAATTTTTTGCTTTGAGGTCTTCAAACTCAAATCTAGCACAATATTGAGGGGCTTTACATTGAGACAAATTTACACTACACTGTATCACGGACAGATATGGAGTCATTGGTGGCTGCAGATATGCAGCCATCGGTGGTAAGCGTAATAATCAAGTCAAAATGTCAATGGTTCTCTGAAAAGTGATCGCATTGCTTGAGTTTTACTGCTTATAAAAGGGACTTCCAATGTAATTATTTTGCACACAAAGCGCAGCATCGCCGTTGCCTTTGAGTCGCGGTAACGAGTTCTGTGCTACTCACCCAACGGTGGCTGACAGAATTTGTTGAAATCCATGATCAAGTGGATTGTGGCAATAACACAAACCAGGGATAGAAGCGTGGTGATCATTGCAAGCATCATCAGTAGATTGGGTTCCTTGTCATACTTGTATCTTTTACCGCAATCGTAGCACGCCCAGTAATAACAGAGGTGAAAACCAAACACCAGGAACGGAAGTAGAGAAACGAAACCAAATATTTGACACCAATGTTTCGCGTCTGTCGTTGTCGAACAGTCGCCAAAGTAAAAGCAAGCAATTAGTGCTTGAGGGAAAGCTTCGAGCCACACTTTTATTGCACTCATCCAAAGGTGAATGGCCTCGTTTGTCTCGCCTCTTCCGTAGTCGCCGTTGCAGCATATTTGCGCAATTCTGTGACAGCATAATAGTTTTCGCGCGACACTGATGGCAAATCCAATTCCCACGAAGGCGAAGAGGGCAGCAGTGACATTGTCGCTGGGATGGCTAATAATCTCTCCTTTAGAATACATATAATAAATTTTGAAATCCAGGAATTTGTCAGATATTTCAACCAATATCAAAATGCTATGAAATAGCACATGAGGGAACTCGCTCGCGACAGACCGCATTGCATACGATTACTACGGACTGATTTACGCATCAAAGAATACCTTTAGTGTTTTGATGAACCTACCGAATGAGCACTGATTAGAATTTTACTAACTTTTCCATGTGATCAAGAGTCAATAGGTGTTTCCTGTTTGTCACAAAACGAGACGCAGATTGGCCCTGCTTTTTGCGATCATCACTGATTGCCTTATTTATACAGAAACTTTACAAAGGATGTTTATTTGGTGGTCTTGAAATGTCAAAGATTGTTTAGTCATATCAAGTATCACAATTTCTAAGAAATTGCATTTAGCCTGAGGATCATTTCCGAAAAATGTGTCTTGACAAGTTCAGTTGCGACAAGTAACTTAAGTCAACAAAATGTGCTCAAAGAGAGGTTGAAATTCCATTACAGACTGTTTATGAAAATTTTCTCCTCTGATAGCTACTTGTTTCCTTTTTGAGTACAGATAGGACCAGATAGATTGATTTGCGTGACGAGTAGCCATACTTGTTTTTCTAAGGAGCTGTAGATATGCAAGGACAATTCAGTTGCTAGGTTTCCAAACTGATCTCGCCTCACCACCCTTAATTTTTTCTTTGGAGGAGTAAATTAACTTTTTCATGTGGGAAGGAAGGTTAGCTGCGTTACCGAGTTTTCGGTTTCGAAATCCAAGCGATCGACTCAGTGAATTCTCATGTGGACATTTCACTTAGTTTCTTTCCAAAATCGAGCTTAAATTCTCACATAAACGAGGAATCTGAAATATTGAACCTCTCAAGCGGTCCGATGAAGAGGCCGTGAAACAAAGGAAAGTCTCTTTCTTGTTGTCACCAGTTATCATAATTAGCATTTTTCTACTTATTATAAATTCAACTTCCAATGCTTTGTACATTAATTAACTGAAGATGACAGAAGTTTCTGTAGAAACATGTTTTACAAACTAAAAAGTTTTGTCGTTTTCTTTAAATTCTTCCTGTAACATTCTCTGTAAGCAGAACTAACTGCATTCCATTTTGAGCGAGTGATATGCGCTTGAAAATATTCCGTAGGTGGAAGGTTGCTACGTGCGCAGATAAGGCAATGTCTAGCGGATGTCTGGTTCGGATGTCTAGTTCGATGCATATCAAGTAAACCTGCCCAAATAGAAGTTCCCGTAACTCATTGCATTCCATTTTGAGCGAGTAATATGCGCATGAAAATATTCCACCGATAGAAAGTTGCTACGTGCATCTTTAAAGCTACACGGTTTTATTCTTTAAACTGTTTCATTAGTAAAACTCGTTAACAAAGCTTGAAACATCACGTAGAGCGATTTTTCTAATCTAACCACCTCTCGTCGATAACTAACTAAATGTTTCTTTACAATGGGTGTGTTGGAAAATCTCTCGCAGTCTGTGACCAAGAAAAATATCGAACAGAGACCCTTACGTGAGAAATAGCTGTAAATTATTGCGACATTACAAGAATGAGTTTTTCGTTCGTTTAACGGATGTATAACACGTCTCCAAATACAAATATCAACATCAGGCTAACCATGTTAGAATGGTTTTCACAAGCTGTGGAAAGCATGCTGGTCTTTAAAAGGTAGAAGTACATGTTCATGTTTAGATGTTTAGAAATCAGGCTCAATGCATGGTTCGTTGAAATTGTTTATCGATATACCAGCAAAGATGCACCCAGTCAAACAGATAAGGAACTGAGTTAAAAGCGCGGTGGAGTACGTTATCAATCGATCCGCCATTTCTACGTGAGCATAGAAGTAGAAAACAGCATAACATATAAACATGATAAAGGGAAATATGGAGAAGGTGTTGAAGGCTTGAACCATGGTTTTCGTAGAATTCGTTGGTGCACAGTCGCCAAAGTAAAACAACGCAATCGTTGCTTGGGGAAAAGCTTCGAACAACATTTTGGCCCAACTCATCAACATGTTGATGGCATGATGCACCTTGTCATTGCTGTCGTCGCCACTGCGGTAGAGATGCATTCTATGAAGGTAGAGAACAACGCGAAGGACTGTCACGGGCAATGAAAGGCAAAAGATTACCATAAGAGCGATATAAACACTCTCCTTAGGATTGTTAGTGATGTTTCCGTCTTTATAGTTGTTAGCAGTGAAAAGGTCCACAAGCTTGTCAGCTATTTCGTAGGCCACCAAGATCATGTGCCAAGTATTACACACGAAGTTGTCCATACTGTACTCGTCTTTTCCTTCTCAATGAACGCGTCTAAATATTATGCTGCTACGTAGTTTCTCCTTATCGATCGAGGAAATTGGATATCAAGGATTAAATTCAGATGTAAGGCTATATATCACAACAAATGCTAAGCAACTAATGAGGATGTCGAACTGGGTGTGACTGATTATCATATGTCACAAGAGCTGTGACAAGCAGTTTTTTTTTCCAGAAATCGAAATGTGAATTATGAATTCCCGAACACGAGTAGTTTATGCACTAACGCGATGTGTTTTAGATTAGCCTAAACTGGTGTATGAAAAATAATTTCGACTTGTTGATGGGCTGTAATTAAATTTCTGAGCCTCAGACCTTTCATCGAAAAAGCACAGTAAAACCAGCTCAGGAATTTTTTTAATTTTAATTTTGAGTACTTTACACTAAACAATATTCTATTCTTGGAAAAGACGATAGTATGAATTAATGAATTAAAATAGCGACATGAGCGAGTGGTCGTAGTTTCAGTCTTTGTGAAATAATCGATTCTCATTACAATTGGTTACAGCCAAGTTCTCTTGAGGCTTAGCATATTAACAAAATTAAGGCCCTAAATCTTCCAGAGCATTCTCGGCCTCCCCTTTTGCCTTCTTTTTTCGAAAATGTCAGCTGGTTCTGGATTTTAATACACTATATGTAGTTACATGATATATATTTTTTCAGTCTGTTCGAGGCATTTGTAACCCTGGAATATCTATAGTTAGAACTGACCCTTCGCTCCAATAAACAGGAGGAATTTTTGAAAACGTGTCACTCTATATTCAAAAGTTTTTTAGCAAACTGACCTACTTAAGGCTTCCTAGAAGGCTCCTATGGCAGCTGATTAAAATATATTGTGTATCGAGTCTGTACATCTTTGTGTGATGTCAGAATGAGCACTAGCAGTATGTTATACAGAGACAATGATCGTGACACAGTAGCACGCTGTTTTGTGTCGATTGCAGTATTGCGAAAACTATTTGGCTGCTCATTGACTAAATGTAATCATAATAAAAGTAGAACATCTCTGTAAATAGCCAAAGAAATCTGTACCTTACTAATTTAATTATGCTGTTAATTTTACTTGGAACTCCTCCAAGTGACGGTGCTCAGTGGTATAGTCAGTGCCTAATCAGAAGTCTGGCTTTGCCTGCAAAACAAATCGCTCTTTGATACCACCTTAGACGCATAGTGTAGTGTTTAAAATTAGGTCTATGATCAAATTACCGGGTCAAAAATTCCAGTTTCTTAAATGTAGATACTCTTATATACAACTAAAACGCTCGCTCTTCAGGGTTCCTGGGCAGTGTCTTCCGCACAACTGTTTATTTTTGTGGCGCACAGAGGTTGTAGAAGGCCATGATCGAGTTATATGCGAAATAAGAGCCCAGCACGGATGTTATCAGTGTGATGATGTGAAAAAGCATCCCCAGTACCTTCCCTATTGATACATCATCACAATCACATTGTTGTAAGCCGTGAGAGGAGTAGTATGTGTAGAAATGGAAAGCATACATAATGAAAGGAAGCAGAGAGAAGCTATTAAAGGCTATACCCAAGATCCTCAAGTCACTCGTTTTCGCGCAGTCGCCAAAGTAAAAGTGACTTATTATCGTTTGAGAGAAAGCCTCCAACAACACTTTCAACAAACTCATCCAAATCTTTATGGTTCTGTCGGTTCTGCCTTTACTGCAGTCGCCCTCGCAGCATAGTGTAACGATTCTGCAGCCAGATGTTACTGCATGTAGTAAAGTGATGAAAAATCCAATTACCATGAAGACAGTGAGGGCAATGTAGACATTCTTATTCCACTCGTTGGATATTTCTCCCGCTTCATAATTTGTTAAAATAAAGCCATCGACGACCCTGTCAGCTATTTCGACAATTATGAAAAAGCCATAAAGCAGTGAACTTAGTAAATCTCTCTCTGAAGGGCCCATTTTGTTCGGTTTCTCTTGACTTAATCGCGCATGAAAAATGGTTTGGTGTGATTTCGGAATGAAAATAATAGGAAGCTTTGGAAATGACAAGTGACGGCGGGCGTTCTTTCATTTTGAAATGAGAGTCACAGATTGGCTGTGCCTTTCTGACGATCATCTTTGATTGTCATATTTGAACAAGGCCTATAAAAATATGATTGACGGCGGCCTTTAAATGCGAAGAACAGTTCAATCTAATTTAGTATCACATTTTCGGAGAAACTGAACATTTCTGGGAAACGTGTCTCAACGAGACGTGACCGCAATGCGACCTAATACTTTAGTTAACTACTAGCTGTTCATGAAACGTTCCACCTCGAGAACGTCAACATGTTAACTTTTCTAATGGGTGGTAGAAAATCCTAAACTGCAGCAAACTTTGACACAAAAATTGTAACACATTTCGATTAAAGTGGGAACAGATTGACTCTCTTACGTGACTAGAGGCTTCTTCGGCCGTGCTGGTTCGGTTCTTGGAAAGAAGGTGCCCAAACTAATAGAATAAAACCGTATAGAATATCTCAATGGCTTAAAGGTATACCTTAACATTGTTACAAAATAAGCGATGGTAGTAACTACAGAAATAGAAGATCATCTCTATCTCGGGAGATGCGACTATTACGATGGAAAGGTTGTGTTGAGTATTACATAGGCAATGAGCCCGATGTTTCACCCACAGTGTTACTATTATCCTCCAAATTACAAGACGAATCATAAAGTGTCAAACCCAAATCCAAGACTAGGATTGCGGAACAATTATGTCGATGTTGAGGAGGTATTTCCTCGGGGAAATACCATGCGAAACTCTATTACATGATAAATAGTTGTCATTTTTCGATCAGCCCCATTGAAATAGCTATCTTCCTATACAAACCATCAGCTTCGTATTAACCCTTTAACTCCCAGATCAAATTTGCAATTCTCCTTACTGCCAACCATACAATTCTTATAATGTTAGTTCAGAGAATTTAGTATTGGATGATCTAATTATCCTCAAATTGATATTTTTCTTTATTCTCATCACTTACTTGATATTGCATTGATATTGTAAGGAAAAATTCTATCTTGGTCATTCATGGGAGTTAAAGGGTTAAAAGGTAACATTTTATCAGTGAATTCGTCGCACTTTCGTTGTCACAAGTTCTATAGTAACCTAAGTTACAAGTGGTTTCATTGGTAAACATTTTCTTCCATCTTACCTCAACCGATATTTAGACACTAACTGAATAGTGGTGGAAACCTGTTGACCTCCTGCGGATTTACAATAATACATGATCATTTAAAACAGCAGGGGCTTAAGATACATACTGTGCTATTATAACTTCCCGGCCGAAACGGGTTTGATGGTGAGCGGTTTAATCAAACAACAGGCTCTAGAAGGCCTTTCACAGTCGACAACAATACGTTTCTTGAAGTTGTTTAGAACGTGCAGCGTTCGGTAAAGGTTATTATGGTTTTAACTGCACAAAAAATCCCCAACAAGGATGCCTTCAGGGTTGAAGACACGGCAAGGAGTGTCAGTGGATTGGGCTTCTCGTCATGTTGATATTTACAATAAGGACACCAGTAGTAGATTAGGTGGAATAAAAACAGGATGAATGGGAGCAAGGAAAATAAACCAAACGCTTGACCCCATTGTTTTAAGTCATCAGTTACTGCACATTCGCCAAAGAAAAACCTTCCAAAAATTGCCTGAGGGAGAGCTTCAAGCCAAACTTTGGCCAGACTTGACCAAAAACGAATAGCTTCGTTGATCCTGTCTTCTCTTGAACTACAATGCTTCTTGATTGCCAGTATGGAAAGTGTGATTCGAGCAAAACTGATGAGAAGTCCAGTGATAAAAAAAGCAACAAGGGCATAATAAACGCTATCTTGCGGATTGTTAGATACCTTTCCCTCGCTATATTTCTTTAACATGACGGCGTCAACAACCTTGTCGACTAGTTCGATGGATATCAAGTAAACCTGCACAAATAGAAGAGCCCCGTAACATTCGCTGTTAGAACTCATCGCATTCGATTTTGAGGGAGTGATATGCGCATGAAAATATTCCGCCGATAGAAAGTTGCTACGTGCCCAGGAAGCAATGTCGAGCGGATATCTTTTTTATCATAAAATGCAAATTGGCTCCTGCCCGTTCAAATAAGAAATCGGATTGGTTACTGTAAGTAACTGCTTTTTTGTCTGTCATATTTGGACTGGGCTTTAACAATAGATGTTGACAAGTCTCTCTGAAATGCCTACTTAGGACTGTAGTACCTGACTGAGGTTACAGCACACCCGGTAATAGATTCATAGACAATTTTGGGGCGTGCGTGGGAAGAATATAACGCGCCAAGATAGCTTCTTCTCCCATTAAACGCAGGCCTCTAGAAACGCCTGCTCGCAGGCTTGAGCGCGTGCTGCACAGAGGAGATCATTATGTGCTTAACAGTGATTTCAAAAACTGATAGATTTCGCAGCAACTTCCGTGACGGAGTTCCGTTTCTTCCAAGTGAGATATTTAAAGCTACGCATTTTAAATCTTTTGAGTGTTTCCATTAGTAAAACTCGTTAACAAAGCTTGAAACATCACTTAGGGCGATTTTTCTACTTTAACCACTTCTCGTCGATAACTAACTAAATGTTTCCTTACAATGGGTGTGTTGAAAGATCTCACGCAGTTTCTGACAAAGAAAAATATCGAACAGAGACCCTTAAGTGAGAAATGGCTGTAAATTGCCGTGACATAAAGGGATGAGTTTTTCGTTCGTCTAACGGATCTATAACATGTCTCCAAGTACAAATATCAACACCAGGCTAAACATGTTAGAATGGTTTTCGCAATCTGTTTTCACTAAACAGCTTGCGGCAAACCTTGAAACAAAAATTGGACCACATTTCGCCTAGAATGGGGACAGATAGACTCCCTTACGTGACTAGAGGCTTCTATGACCGTGCTGGTCCGATTCTGAGATGTCACCCCAACACTGCTTTCCTATGTAAAAAATCACGTTGAGTTTTTATAAGAAAGAAGGTGGTCACCAACTGATATCCTTACAGTAGCCGAACTAAAATTTCTCATATGAACTGCGGAAAAATTATTTCTGCAAACCGCGCTCCGGTTAGAAGTTCACAAGACAAAGGAAA